TGTGCAAAGGCCCTCTAGTAGACAGGAGTATGTCTAGTGAGGGGAACTGAAAGAAGATGGAGAACGGAAGGCCAGAGGAGAGCCTGGTGATCGTGGGGAGGTGAACAAAAGTCATAATGTCCATGATCTCATATCTTAACGGGAAATCATTGGTTTTAAACAGGAGGTGAAGGGAAGGCCATGCCATATGATTAGATTTTTAAAATTAAATTTTGAGACAATTGTAGATTCATATGCAGGTGTAAGAAGTAATACAGCAAGATCCTGTGTACCCTTTACCCAGTTTCTCCTAATGGTAACCTCTTCTGAAACTGTAATACAATATCACAACCAGGATATTGACATTGATACAGTCAAGATATAGAACATTTCCATCACTACCGGGATTCCTCATTTGCCCGTTTACAGCCGCACCCACTTCTCTTCCATAACCCTTTTCCTTAACCCCTGACGACCACTAATCTACTATTTCTATAATTTTTGTCTCTTCAAGAATGTTATATAGATGGAATCATAGAGTATATAACCTTTTGAGATTTGCTTTTGTCACTCAGCATAATCCTCTGGAGAGTCATCCAGGTTGTTGTGTATATCAAGTGTTCCTTTTCATTGCTGAGTAGTATTCCATGATGTGGATGTACCACACTCTAACCATTTGCCTGTTGCAGGTATTTTGGGTTGTTTCCAGTTTGGTGCTGTAATGAAGCTGCTATAAACATCTGTATATAGGTTTTTTTGTAAACACAAATCTTCATTTCTCTGGGAGTGCAATTCCTGGGTTGTATGGTAGTTGCATGTTATGTTTTTTTGTTTTTTGTTTTTTTTTTTTAAAAGATGACCGGTAAGGGGATCTTAACCCTTGAGTTGGTGTTGTCAGCACCACGCTCACCCAGTGAGCAAACCGGCCATCCCTATATGGGATCTGAACCCGTGGCCTTGGTGTTATCAGCACCGCACTCTCCCGAGTGAGCCAGGGGCCGGCCCCTGCATGTTATGTTTTTAAAGAAATTGCTGAGTTGTTTTCCAGAGTGACGGTACCATTTTACATTCCCACCAGCAATATATGAATGATCTAGTTTCTCTGTACTGTCATTAGCATTTTGTGTTGTTACTATTTTTTATTTTAGACATCCTGATAGGTGTGTAGTGATCTCATTGTTGTTTTAATTCACATTTCCTTAGTGGCTAATTATGTAGAATATCTTTTCATATGCTTATTTGCCATCAGTATATCCTCTTCACTGAAGTATCTGTTTATATCTTTTGCCCATTTCTAATCAGGTTGTTTGGTTTTTTACTGTTGAGAGTTCTCTATACAGTCTAGATACTAGTCCCTTGTCTAATATGTTCGCAAATATTTTCTCCCAGTCTATAGCTTGTCTTTTTATCTTCTTAACAGGGTTTTTCTTTTTGCAGAGCAAAAGTTCTAAATTTTGATTAAGTCCAACTTATCAGTTTTTCCTTTTCTGCACTCTGCTTTTGGTGTCGTGTCTGAGAATTCTTTGCTTAGCCCTAGATCCTGAAGATTTTCTCATGTGTTTTTTCTAAAAGTTTTATAAGTTTACATTCGAGTCTATGATACAGTTTTTTTCTGTGATACATTTTGAGTTAATTTTTGTATAAGGTGTGAGCCTTAGATCAACTGAGGTTCTTCCTTTTTGGCCTACAGATATCCAATTGCTCCAGCATCACTATTAGATCTTTACTTTTCAAAGTACTGTTACTCTGAGCAAAGTAACTAGATGGGACATGCCCCATTTCATATTTTCATCAAACATTTATTAAGCACTTTCTATACCAAGAGCTGAGGATGAGGTGAGGAAGAAAGGCTCCTAATCTTCAAGAGGAATTACTCTTGGGTCATACCATGCCAATCAAAGAGACTAGCCCCACTTCCCATGGGACCTCTCAAGCTTCTCAGAAACTTTTTTTTTTTTTTTTTTTAAAAAGATGACCGGTAAGGGGATCTTAACCCTTGACTTGGTGTTGTCAGCACCACGCCCAGCCAGTGAGCGAACCGGCCATCCCTATATGGGATCCGAACCCGTGGCCTTGGTGTTATCATCACCGCACTCTCCCGAGTGAGCCACCGGGCCAGCCCCTCTCAGAAACTTTTATTGTGACACTATATTTAAAGGCTTCAGTGTTCTGTTTTTGGGCGGGGGGGGGGGCGCAGCTGATGGGTACAGGGATCCGAACCCTTGACCTTAGTGTTACCAGCACTGCATTCTAACCAAGTGAGCTAACTGGCTAGCTAAAGACTTCAGTTTATTTTTTTTTTTTTTTTTTTTTTTTTTAAAGATGACCGGTAAGGGGATCTTAACCCTTGACTTGGTGTTGTCAGCGGCACGCTCACCCAGTGAGCAAACCGGCCATCCCTATATGGGATCCGAACCCGGGGCCTTGGTGTTATCAGCACCGCACTCTCCCGACTGAGCCACGGGCCGGCCCAAGACTTCAGTTTTTAATCTTAAAATTTATCAGGTAAGGTATAACTTTATATTTTCCAGATGGATAGTAAGTTGTCAATACCATTTATTGAATAATCTATCTTTTCCTAGCTAACTTGAAACATAACCTTTTTCACATACATACTAAATTCCTGTATGTATTTGAGATCTATTTCTGGACTTTATATTCTTTTACATTGGTCCATCTGTTCATTCGTGTACTTATACACATTAAAATTTTTAAAACTTTTTTTTTTGATGGATGGCTTGTATGGGAATCCGAACCATTGACTTTCGTGTTATGTGTTCATTTTTTAAATTTATTTTATAATATTTTAAAAATAGCTAGTAGAAGCAGCCTGTTCTCATTCTTCTTGCAACGTGCTGGTTAAGTGTAGGAGTGCTGGAACTAGTCTACCTGGTGTTAAATTCTGGCTGTTACTTACTTTTTAGTTGTATGAGTTTGGTAAAGCTGGTTAGCCACTTGGCTTCAGTTTCTTCATCTATAAGAAGGGTTGATTATAGTATCCATCTCAGAGTTGTTGCATTAAATAACACAGAATGACAAAGAGTAAGCAATGTTTGAATGTATGTTATCATTTTGCTTGTTTACCATTCTGGTTTCTTCTTCCACACGAAGTTTGGAATGAGCTTGTCTAGTTTTTAAATTTTTTTTTAAAGATGACCAGTAAGGGGATCTTAACCCTTGACTTGGTGTTGTCAACACTACGCTCTCCAAAGTGAGCTAACCGGCCATCCCTACATAGGGATCCGAACCCTTGGCCTTGGTGTTATCAGCACCACACTCTCCTAAATGAGCCATGGGCCAGCCCAGCTTGCCTAATTTAAATTAAAAACCTATTGGTATTTTTACTGGAATATTAAATTGATAATTTATACTGAGTTTACCCATTGAAGAACACGGGATATCACTTTTCATTAGAATTGGAAAAATACTTGCCCATCCACTTCTTCCACTTACTGCTACCATCTTAGTCCAATCCATCATCATCTTTTCCTTGCTCTCCTACTCTGTTGTCATATTGCAACCAGGGTGGCCTTTAAAACTTAAGTCAGATGTCATGTCTCTGCAAAACCTTCCAACAACTTCATTCATCAAAGCCTGGAAGGGAATTGGAAACAGCAAGATCAACTTTTAGTTTTGCTGTAGAGGGGAACAATTTGGGCAATAGGTGGAAAGGATGTGGATTCAAGGATGCTGTGCTTTGTATGCTGATGAGAAGTGATCTGAAAAGGAGGAGGTAGTTGATGAGATAGGACAGAGAGGGGCAAGTGCTTGAGAAATGTTCTTGAGTAGGCTTCCAGTCATGTTTCCTTCCATTCATATTCCTCAGGGCCTGACCTTCCTAAAAACCTAAAATGCATATCTAATCATGCCCAACTCTCCTGCTTAAAACTCCTTTAATAATGCCCCACTATTTTCTGCCAAAAAAAAATTACAATTTAACCTTGCATACAAGGCATTCCATTATTCATTTAAAATGTATGGAGCACCAACCATATGGAGCACTATGATGCTTCAGGTGCTGGTTACACGAGGGTACTTCAAAACGTTCATGGAAAGATTTGTTTTATCTTTTAGTTCTATTTTTCCATGAACATCTTGAAGTACCCTTGCAGAGTTAACAAAACAGGCTTGATCTCCACCCTAGTGGAACTTACTTGTAGTTGGAAAAATAAACATGTGAATAAGCCTGGGAGATTTGTTAAAGGACAGGAAATACTAGGCAGTGCACAGGTGCTGCTGGAAATGATTCAGAAGGAAGGAGACACTAATAAAAGAACTAAAGGCTTTATGAAATGAGAGGGGATGACCGGACACAGAGCATATGTGAAGTGTTGAGTTTTGGTAAGAGAGATCCTTCCATTCTAACTAGAGAGAAAGGTTGGGTGATGAAGTAGGTAGCTTTATAGATGGTGGCATAATAAGTTCCACTTGATGGTTTCTCAACTATGAGGCAAAGTCTTTAGCAACATGAAAAGAGAATATTAAATGGTCATCTCAGAGCAGTAATAGGAAAATTATAGTGGTTGCCTATTTCTCAACTCCTAAGGCTCCCTAATTGTTTAACACTTCTGAGATTTCGATTTAATTGTCATTATTCTTTTCTGGCAAATTCCTACTTATTCTTCAGACCCATCTGGCCCACCACCTCCTGTGCCACCACATCTGGTACCCATCTCACCTCCATTACCATAATGCACTGAAGTTTGTTTGTTTCCCTGCCAAGACTGGTAAGGTTCTTGAAAAGCTTGGTCTGTGTCCCTAGTGTCAGGTTCCATGCAGAACGTTTAAGTAAAGATTTTCAATAAATGTTTAACATAAACTCTAATGAAACTTTGTGGAATTTACAACTAGGAGAATTTATTAGAGGGATATGGAAGTGCCAAGGATTAACCAATCCCTAGAATAAAGTAGCTCATAGGATATCTCTACCTGTTTAAAAAGACAATACTTTGGCTCTACTTGTTGCTGTCAATGCAGAGTGCTCCTGCACCATTGTAATATGGACACACCACCACACTGGCTTTCATTTTAGTCCTTTCATTTTATTCAAATGCGAAAACATATGTTCCAAGATACAAATTGTAGTTATACAGTTGTGTTTGATTTAAAAATGTCAATTATGCTTTGTTAACAACTTCCAAAACCAAATGCAAGTTATAACTAAAGTGTTTCCCAGTCCATTGCTGGAAAATAACCTTTATCATTTTAGAAGCTATTCCAATTTCCACTCTACAAAAAGGAAAATGATACAAATAGAAGAAGGTTAATGAACAAAGTTATAATATGAAAGACTTCCTGGAGAGAACTTGAACCATTACTAAGGAGACTAAGAAGGATACCTGTTTCTATTCCATACTATAGCAACCAGGCTTACACACTCCGCAGAACTGCATTTCTGGTCCTATCTGAGGCATAAACATGTACCTCACATCCCTTTTATTACATCATAGGAAGTCCAACTCTTCATCAATAGGATTTAGAATTTGTTAATAGTTTAAGGTTCTCTTCCTAAGAGAAAGTGGGTAAAAGGAAAACTCAAGAGTCTATAAACCAAAAAATGAAAACAATATTTAAATGTACTTTGATTTAAACAATTTCAAATGAGATTGAACTGAGAAATATAGAAACTTGTATCACTTTAGAAGGAAAAAAGCTTAAAAGGTACCTGGATATTTCAATATTTATGGTATCAAATGATACAATTTTCGAGTCCAAAAATTTCCCCCCACTATTTTTTTGCTATATAATAAAGGCTAATAACTTATATATTAGTATGAACACATTCACTTTGGCTGATAGCAAAACAGATTTTTTTTTAACATTCTATGTTGCCAAAGAATTAGACAAATGTCCGGCATCAAAAATCAAAACAAAAAAACTAGCTCAGTACTTTAAGTGCACAATATTGGAATATTTTATTTAGGTCAGCACATGTTTGTTACTATGACTAATACTGCATGCTATTTATAGAATTAGATGTATAGTCTTTTTCTGAAGACTTAAGCCAGACTTCAGTTCCCACCTACTCACCCATGGTACTAAAATGGATCAAAGATGGCAAATAAATCAGACAAGTCAGCAAGAGAATGGCCTTTTTTATAGTACCAATTAGTGTCATGCATTAGCAGATAAGACTAAGAATACAGCTAAACAAATCATCAAAATATGGTTCTTCAGCTTGTTTTTCCACAAAAATTTTAATTATTTGGAAACTACCTGGTCTAATTTTTAAGATGAATAAAATTCTTTTATTTTCAGGAAATGTGGGTAAAAAAAGGTAACACTAAAGAATGGTATGCCAATATTCAATTTTAAAGAATTTATTTTCCCATTTGTAGAGTAACATTACTGTAAAATCCACAGTTACTGCAACATACCTAAATTGCTTAAAAGAACTCCTAAGAATTTTCTTGAAGCATATTTTTTAAAAACTGAACCAAAATAATGTACATTTTATCCCTAAACATTGTGTCATTAAAGTCCGCATAATGTCCTCTGTATAAATCAGTGATGTTACAATAATCTACACGATCTGATTTTTATCCTAAAGACTTCTGACCATGTATGATATCCAAGATAGATCCAATACCTTTAATGTCAGACTGTAGAGACATTTACAATCCTAAACAAAAGAAGGAAAAGTTTTATATACAGGACAGGAATCTGACAGTTTAGCTGTTTGCAGCATCTGCTTGGCGAGGCCATCCTTCTTCTTCAACTCCAGAATCATACTCCTCTTCAGAAGATTCTTTTGTTGGAGCCCTATTACAAAAAGCCATATTGGTTTGTTTGTTAAATGAAAACTGGAAGTAAACATGACTCAAAATAGTAATTTAATCCCCCTAGCTAAAAAAAAGCCACAAAAATAGAAAATACTAACAGCACTTTTAATTAAGATTGCTAAGCAGTGAAAGATGGGAAACAGACTACACAACCAAGAGTTGCAAGTAAATTTCCCAACATTTTCCCTAACAACTTTATTAATAAAATAAATGAACAATAAGGCTTCAATAGTGAAGGCTTACAAAATCTTTTTCTCCAGGAAACAAAATAGAATCTGTTATTTCAACTCAAATACTTGACATTTAGCAAATATATATGGTAAAAAAGCTGACTACTTCTGACTAAATGTGACTTGACTCAACTAAGTCAAAATTATGATTCAGACCACCACAATTCCTTTTAAAGTCACACATCAATGTCAAACAATGAAAATAAAAGATTGTGTTTCACTGAATAACTAAGATTGTTCAAAACCAATCAACTGCCTCCAAAGTTATGTTGGAAGATAACCAAACATAAAACATAACATACCTTGTTGACTGAGTTAAACAGAAATGTAACTTTTGAGTAGGTAATATTAGTGTCAATCACTATAAAATAAGTATTTATTGAAATAAATCAGGGGTCAGTAAACTACTACATGCAAGCCAAATCCAACCCACTGCTTGCTTTTGTAAATAAAGATTTACTGGAAAACAGACATGTTCATTGTGTATGGCTGCTTTTGTCCTATGAGGGCTGTGCTGAGTAGCTGCAATATAGACTATATGGCTCTAACGTATTTATCTAGCCCTTTATGAGAAAGTTTGCTACCCTGGGAATATATACACAAAGCAGTGAAAGATGTGTCAAATTTGTCAATTGATATATACTACTGAGAGAAAAAATTATGACAACAAAGTCTTGATCTTATAAAAGACATGAAAAAAGTCATTCATAAATTAGAGAATTAGGGGGCTGGCCCGTGGCTCACTCGGGAGAGTGTGGTGTTGATAACACCAAGGCCATAGGTTCGGATCCCATATAGGGATGGCCGGTTGGCTCACTGGCTGAGCGTGATGCTGACAACACCAAGCCAAGGGTTAAGATTCCCCTTACTGGGCCGGCCCGGTGGCGCACTACCGCCCGAGGGTTCAGATCCCACATACAGACCGGTTCCTGCTCACTGGCTGAGCGAGGCGCGGGAGCAACACCGAGGGTTGCAATCCCATTGCCGGTCCCCGGTCCGGTACGGGGGCAACACTGAGGGTTGCGATCCGTTGCCGGACACGGAAAAAGACAAAAGACAAAAAAAAAAAAAAGATTCCCCTTACTGGTCATCTTTTAAAAAAAATAAAAATAAAAAGTAAATAAATTAGAGAATTAGCAGCAAAGTTCATTTTATCTCTTCATTTGGATTATTTTTATGTTTCTTTTGATACTTTTTTCTTAGAGGGAAAATGTGGAGGACAATTTTAAAGGTCAATTTTCAAAAAAAATTTTTTTTCAAAGACTCTAAAACACTATTATTTTATGAACCCAAATTAGATTATTCTACAGAAAATTTATGAGATTAGGGGATTAGCTCAATTGGTTAGAGCATGGTGCTGGTAACACCAAGGTCCAGGGTTTGATCCCTGTATTGGCCAGCTGCCAAAAAAAAAAAAGAAAATTTATGAGATTACTGCTTCTCTTCTAAATATAAGGATTTTTATGCAATTTTTAAATGACAGACCAATAAACCATAGCAATAAGGAGATGATCTTAAATTTTAGATCTGTTCTGGCTTGAAAATACACTTTACCGGATATATCCTGGTTCCTTTTTTCCTTCTACTACTTCTTTGTCAACCTCCACACATATAATATCAGAATTAGGGACTTCAAACATTGGTTCTAGTAACAGTTTTTCCTAAAGAAATAAAAAGGAATGAATTACATGGAAAACAGATTACATACAAAATACTTTTATTCTATAGGATACCAACTGACTCCATTCACTCAAGAAATATTACTAAATCTCTATTATACACTAGGAACTGAATGCTGAAGTCAATGTAAAAGCTTTCACATATTCTTTCTTTATTTTTTTTTGTGACCGGTAAGGGGATCGTAACCCTTGGCTTGGTGTTGCCCGCACCGCGCTCAGCCAGTGAGCGAACCGGCCATCCCTATATAAGATCCAAACCTGTTGCCTAGGCGCTCCCAGCGCTGCACTCTCCCGAGTGAGCCACGAGGTCGGCCCCACATATTCCTTATATTAAACCAGCTTTTAACTAAATTCAGAGAAATCATTCTTTAAAGCAAAACTACTTGTGGTTCTGCCTATTTAGGTCAACACACACATACCAAAAGACTGTACTTTCAGACTCAGATGTTACTCAGAAGCATTTCTGGCTTATTCTATGACTGAGGAGGTTAACTCATAAATCCTTACTTTGAAAATGGTTTAATCCTAAATTGCCTGTACCAAGATCTTCAGTTTCAAACTATTAATTCAAATGAGCACTTATCTCAAGTGCTGCAGATCTTAAGTTGTTAACTACAGAAAATTAGCTTTGCCTACAGGTAGGGGCTGGATTATATTCTGTCTAAGGAAAATATTACTTAAGTACATCAGATTTCCTAAAAAAAATGTCAACTATATCATCTACTCTTCTACTTTGCATGTTTATAAATCTGTCCTTAATCAGTAACACCTTAAATCCAGGCCCTCATCAGAGAGTATAATCTCAAACTGTGTGATGGATGTGTAGTTCCAATTAAGAGTCCTACTGAGTAAGAGAAGTGACAGCTGTGAAATCCTTAAAAGAGACCAGGAACATGTGCTTGCTTTGGGAGAATGTAGGGAAACAGTAACCCACTGTACAGCCAGACATGGCAGACAGAAGAGAGAACTCTAAGGGAGAGAGTGGGTAGTAGCAAGAAAATAGCCTGGGTCCCTAGGATCTGTGACAAAATAAAAAATAGTGAGTTCATACCATGCTGAATTGGTAAAATGTCATGGCATCTGCAACTTACAAACAAAGAATGGGGATTTTAACAGGTCTGATAAAGGGCTCTGGGGCTTAATCAAAGGCCCATATAGAATTTCCTGAAATTCTCCTTCCCATGATCCTGATTTTCTCTATTTTCTTAATCATATTATGTGTGTGTCCTTCATTGCAAACCACTTAAAGTTCCCTTTTGGAAAAAAGCAAAATATAATCTACTGTGACAAAAAGAAAAAAAATCACAAAAAATATACAATCTTACGCCAATACTCTAGATGTATTTTCAAAACAAAACAGGGAAGCTTAATACTCTCAAAACTCAGACCAAGAAATAATGTAATTTTTGTAGAATAACGCCAACTTACCATTATGGATCGAAGGCCTCGTGCACCTGTTTTTCGTTCTAGTGCCAATCTGGCTATTGCTTTCAAAGCATCCTCAGTAACAGTCAGTTCACACTACGAATACATCAAAAATAAATGAGAACTTAAATAATTCTTGAAGATATTTTCTTAATATAACCATACAGCATTTGATCTATTAACTATTTATTACTACAGGGCTGGCTAGTTAGCTCAGTTGGTTAGAGCACAGCCTTATAATACGAAGGTCAAGGGTTTGGTTCCCCATATTGGACAGCCGCAAAAATAAAAAAGAACTATTTATTACTACCTACCACCATTCCTAGTCTTAGAATCACAGAATTTTAGAACTGAGAGGAACCAATGCCCTGACTTTACAGAGAAGGAAGTAAGTTCCAAAGGGTTAAGTAAACTGATTCAGTGGTAACTCAGAAACACAGGCAGGGTCAGAATCTATATGTCTTGACTGATCCTATCCCCTTTCAGACTAAAGTATCACTTAGACTTTTCCTCCTAGAAAACCTTCATTGGATCCCTATAACTACATTTTAAACTATATATATATTTTTTAAAAAGATGACCGGTAAGGGGATCTTAACCCTTGACTTGGTGTTGTCAGCACCACACTCAGCCAGTGAGTGAACCGGCCATCCCTATATGGGATCCGAACCCGTGGCCTTGGTGTTATCAGCACCGCACTCAACCGAGTGAGCCACAGGCTAGCCCTAAACTATATTTTAAAGAGTGTTACTGAACCCTCTCATCCTGTACAACAAAGATAAAACTTCAGACAAGTCTAAGTTACCACAAATTTCAAAACAGAGTTCAAATATTGAGAATATACCAAAAAAAAAAAAAAAATCAAAATACTTTCAAACAACATACTTCATAAAAGTTACTAAATAGCTTTTGGTTATTAATTTCTACCTCCAGAAAATGTAAAGATGTAAAGTTTAAATGAGGTGATTATTTCTCATGGTGTTTTTGAATGCTGCCTTCAAGAAGCACTTGGTTCTATCAATTAACCTATGACAGTATCAGTATTATGAATCGCAAGTTTGTTCTTAGTCCTTGAAGAGACTTCCTACATTAACATAAACTTCCTAGGGCTTTTTTCAACATTTATTGAACCCCCACGTGTTTACATATTAGAGACTGAATGATGAATTAGATATCAAGCAACTTATAATCTATTGAGTAGTGACAGGTTAACAAACTAGCATTTACAGCCCAGTGTATGCACATGGTGCTAAGAGAGCACCAAAGTAGGGGCATCTAAATAAGACTAGGGGACCACTGAATGATTTTAACCTGGGGAGTAAAAGAATTAGTCTTATGTTTATTCATTCAATAAATATTTATTAAGAACTTAATATCTATTAGCTTGGCACTGTGTTCAATAGTTTAAAAATGATCCATTCTGGGCCAGCCCGGTGGCGCACTGCTACAGTGCGCCGCTTGGGAGTGTGCTGGCGCTCCCGCCGAGGGTTCGGATCCCACATACAGACCGGCTGCTCACTGGCTGAGCGAGGTGCAGGGGCAACACCGAGGGTTGCGATCCCGTTGCCAGTCCCGGTCCGGTATGGGCGCAACACTGAGGGTTGCGATCCGTTGCCGGTCACGAAAAAAGACAAAAAAAAATAATAATAATAAAAAAAAATAAAAATAAAAATGATCCATTCTGGAAGTAAAGTAGAAGATAATGATATTTTGGTGGCTGTGGTCAGAGACACACTTGAGACAGGGAGACCAATTAGGAATCAAATGTATGGGTCAGGGTGAAGAATGATAAAGGTGCTTGACTTGAGGCAGTGGCAGTGGCAATGGAGAGAAGACTGATATTTAGAGACATTAAGTTCATAAAACCCAAAACATCTGCTGTCTGATTGGATGTGTGTGCTAGAGTGACCTCCAGGTGTTGGTTGCAGAGACGTAGATGTGGGAGCTAATAAAACTTTACTTACAAAAGTGTATAAAAGTATACACAGTCTGTCACACGTAAGCATTTAGAATGTCAAGGTTGAAAGGACAATCCTGCCGTCTGGCGTGGAGGGGTTAGGGTAGACTGATGGCATCATTTCTCTCTATAAATACGTCCTTGGGCTTTATGTTAGTTACAATGATGATTTTAACTCAGAGGAAATAAAGCTTTTTTTTTTTCTTTTTTTAAAGCTAACTTCTAAATATCTAATGTGACGTAATGTTCTTTGATTCCTAGATCCACATTTAGTGAGGAATAGGCTCATAAACCCAAAGAGAATTCCTTTTTAATTTGTTGGGCTAATTTATATACAATTTCAGTAGCAAGAAAATCATAAATTAACTAAGAAATTAAAATCTAACCTTATCCATGCTGAATAAGGCCTGGTACTGAGGAATAACGGCATTACGTGGCTCAGTTAGAATTTGTACAAGTGTTTTCTCATCTAGGCTATGCAAAGGAACTACCACAGGCAACCGTCCCACAAACTCAGGAATCATGCCAAATTCAATGAGATCTCTGGCTTCCACGTGACGTAATAACCGATCTTTTTCTTCAATATCTTGGTGAGTATTTGATTCCCCACTTCTATTAGCAAGGTCTGCAGCAGCTGCAGCCCTTCTGCCTTTTCCCAGATTAGATGGTGTTCCAAATCCAAGATACTGCCAAAGAAAAGATGCATATTGTAAATAGCAGAATGAAGTTGCTCTATATTAAGTACTTTACATGCATATCTCATGTGATCTTTGCAACAACTCTACAAAGAAGGTTCTATTATCACTCACATTTTATAAAGGAAAAAAACAGGCTTATAGAGGTTAAGTATCTTGGCCAAGGTCTTGTAGCTATGAGTGGCAAAGCCAAGATTTGAACTCAGATCTGTTTAACGTTCACAACTGACAACCTAATCACCATGTAATAACTAATTCTCAAAGAATGAATTCTAATAAACGTAGACAGGTAAGAACTATAAAGGGAAGTCCCTTAGAACTCAAATAATGAAGTTGCAGAATTTATCAAAAACCTCTAGAGGTATGGTTTCTAAAAGATGTAACAACTATGAAAATGGAGATAGTAATTTTTTTGTAACCAAAGTTAATTTTGTAATACTGTAAACTTAAGTAGTGCCTATGGAACAAGCAGCCTTATAAGAAAATTATCCACAAGTGTCTTAAGTCACTGCTAAATATTGTACTAAAATGATTTGGAGCAGCACACATCAATCTATGAATTAGAATAATTTCAATCTTATAAAGAACATATAAAGATGACATCAAACAAGAATGCTAACTTTGCTGAACAAGGCTGGGTATCTAAAGATATATGGAACTTGCTTCAGTCAACATAAAAGAGCTGTACTCCAGGCAACTATCAGAAAGTTTAATTTTCACATGTCATACAGCTTTTGTCAAAAGTACAAGAGAAGGACATGATATGTGAGAACATTACCTAAGCTAAAAATCTGTTTGCAATGAACCAAATGTTTATGTCCCCCAAATTCATATGTTGAAATCCTAATCCCCAAGATGATAGTATTGGGAGGTGGTGCTTTTGGGAGGTGATTAGGTCATAAGGGTGGAGTACCCATAAATGGCATTAGTGCCCTTATAAAGAGACCCCAGAGAGATCCCTCGCCTTTCTGCCATGTAAGGTTACAGTGAGAAGACAGCTGTCTATGAGGAAGCAGGCCCTCACCAGAAACTGAATCTGCTAGTGCCGTGATCTTGGACTTTCCAGCTTCCAGAACTGTGAGAAATAAATTTTTGTCTGTAAGCCACCCTGTCTATGGTATTTTGTTATAGCAGTATGAATGAAGTAAGAGACTATTCTTCTGATTCTCTAAGCTGTGTACATCAGAAAGCAAAATACCTTTCATTCAATAATTTAAACATTTATTAAATATTTATTATATATATGTAAGCATATATAGTAATAAATATATATATATATGCATTTTATATATATATATATATATATATATATCTCAACATTTATTAAGCATTATTATAAAACACTCGGGATATAAGCTTGAAGACAGCCCTTAACCTATAAAGGGACTTATTTAGAGGAAGAACAAAGGAGGGTATTAAAGTATCATAGGTACAATGATAGATGACTGTACAGGGCACTGTGGTAGTGGAAAGAAAGAAAAGATCCATGTATTGGGGAAAGAGGTGACCAAGAAAGCCTTCCTCGAGGAACTGACTAATCATTTAACAGTTTGAGTTTTAAAAGATGAATGGGTATTTACCAACTGGACTGAGGTAGGGGAGGGCTTAAGGCGAGAGGAATAAAACTTAGGACTGTAAGCAGTTTCATTCGGTTGAAATATAGGTCTGTTATTTAATATTGTACCCTTAGCTTTCAAAGGGTGTTCATAAAACTAATAGCCATGTGAATGTTTTTAATCCTCTATAAAATCACTCTTGAAGAGTCTCTTCTGTCTTGGTCTCCTTCTCATAAAGATCTATGTGACAAACTCCTTTTTTAATTTTTTCTCTCCCAAAGACCTCATATGCTTCCTTTTTCAGGTAATAACTAGAGCACATGATTTCCCCCTATTTTTCACTAAGAAGTTCATAGCTAAAAGGAGTGACTTCATTCCTAATAAGTCAGAACTATCACCTAAACCTTCCTTTTACATACATGTTTGATTATTTTTCTGACACTACTTTTAACTGTTCTGTTCTACATGCTTCTCGCTTTAATTCTTTTGATAAATATCAGAACATGGTCCCTGCCTTTGGTTACAGAATTTCAAATACAAGCTTATCTCTCTCATACACATATGAAAAAAGAAATAATTTTTCTAATTTGTTAGGCTAATTTATGCAGAATTTCAATAGCAAGAAAAACAAGTAGTTTTCATACCTAGTTAATTTATGTTTTTCTTGCTATTGAAATTCTACATAAATTAGCAGAAAAATAAAAATCTAACCCTATCCATGATGAATGAGGCGTGGTACTGAAGAGTAACAACATTAAGTAGCTCAATATTTGTAAAAGTGTTTTCTCATCTAGGCTATACAAAGGAACTACCATGGGCAACCATACCATCAGCAGCACAATTTTTTTTTTTACTACTACTAAACTACTACTTAAACCAGTACATTCAAGGCCAAGGAGACTTAGAGCAAGCAATATAGCAAACAGCTGATCTATGATATACTCATTTAGGTAGAATGCTGAATAATAAAAAAGTGATCATTTGTGGCTAGCTATTATGTAAAACACAAAAACATGGAAAATACAGGTGTGTTCTGGACTTCTTGCCACTATGTTGGCATTACATTTTATTGTAATCAATCAACAGATAGGTATTGGGCAAGTACCTTGAGGATTTGAAGAAACAAGTCCCAGTCTCAGTTAAAAGTAGGGCTTATAAGAATGTTTAAGAAACATCTATAAAACTAAGTGGGATCACAGCACTTTCCCCCCAAAATGCTTCCCTCCATTTACAAATGTCAGTAGTGATCTGTGATAGACTATAGGTAGGGGCAATGGAGATAAGCTGTTTATTGGGCTCCAGAGAATTGGGCAGGAGGAATGAATAGAAATTTTACTGATACAGTAGCTACCTCAAATAATTAGAGAAAAAAAAAAAAAAAACCTCCTTAGATAAAATATAAATTTGAATTCAACAAGTTACACTTTAAAAATGTCCATACACAGGTGATATTTAGAAATCTTCCAATTCGTTAGTCTGAAAAAAAAAAAAAAAAGTAGGATATTTCTGATATGCTCTAGAAAACCTAACCTCTTAAAAATCCATGACTGGGGCCGAGCCCGTGGCGCACTCGGGAGAGTGCGGCGCTGGGAGCGCAGGAGCGCTCCCGCTGCAGG